TGGTTGGTTGATTGATTGGTTATGCTAATTTGTTGTTGGTGGTTGGTTAGTTGGGACGGGGGAAAGGAATATTGTCGACCACTTGGGCTGGATGGTAGAGTGACGGTCTCGCTTCATGCATGTCGGTGTTCAATCCCCGACCGTCCAACTGGATGGCCACCATTCCTTATCCTCCCGTCCCATCCCAAATCCTTATCCCTTCCAAGTACTGTATAGTCGTAATGGCATGGCGCTTAGTCCTCATTTATTTTATTTCTCACAGAAAATGATAATGAGATATGTGAGGAACTCAACTTAGGATTTCAGGTCTTTGCATTAGAAGCAGCGTGGAGACCAAGGTTGTAAGATGAAAGGCCGGAGGACATACTGGATGGCCTTGTAGTCACTGTAGAAAAGGTGAAAAAACACCTGGAGGAACTTGATGTGACAAAATCAATGTGGGCGAGATGTAATCTCCCCATGGCTATCTTGAGGTAATCTTCAGATGATTTCGTTTTTTTTTAGTGTCCCCGCGGCCCGGTCCTCGACCAGGCCTCCACCCCCAGGACAGCTAGCCCCAGTGACAGCTAACACCCAGGTACCTATTTTATTGTTAGGTAACAGGGGCATAGAGTGAAAGAAACTCTGCCCATTGTTTCTCGCCGGCCCCCGGGATCGAACCCGGGACTACAGGATCACAAGTCCAGTGTGCTGTCCTCTCGGCCGACCGGCTCCCTTCAGGCTGCTGAAGGAGGCTGCTGAAACACATTGTCACCCGCTGTCTAAAATTTTTAATAAAACGCTTGAGACAGAAATCTTCCCTGTTTAAAAAAGCAATAGTAGTAGTAAACGTATTCAAGAAAGGGGAGAGAAAGGAGGCACTAAACTACAGACCGGTGACACTGACAAGTATTCCTTGTAAAGTGGTAGAGAAAGTGATCAGGTCGAGTATGGTGGAGCATCTTGAGAGGATTGACTGTGTGATCATAAATTTGCACGGATTTAGGAATGGAAAGTCGTGCCTGACAAACCTAATGGAGTTTTATGACAAGTTACTTACTAAGTTATAAGACCGTAAAAGAAATGCAGGGTAGACTGTATTTTTCTAGACTGTCAAAAAGCGTTAGACACTGTTCTTCATGAATGACTGTTGTACAAGATGGAGAAGCAGGTTGTGATAACTGGGACACACTAAACTGGGCAAGGGAGTACCTGAAGGACAGAAAACAAAGAGTCACAGTCAGAGAGGAAGTTTCAAGCTGGAGGAATGTAACAAGTGGGGCCCCACAAGGCTCTGTCCTGGGACCACTGATGTTGCTAAATTATGTGGTCGACCTGCCCGAGGGAGTGAGCTCAGACATGTCAATGTTTGCAGATGATGCAAAGCCGATGAAGAACGTGAAAAACAGATGAGAACTGCAGGAAGTTACTGGAGGACGCACCTGACAGCTGGGTGGACAGCGTTTCGGATTCGTAGTCCTGAGGTTCCGGGTTTGATCCCCGGTGGAGGCGGAGACAAATGGGCAAAATGTTTCTTTCACCCTGATCCACCTGTTCAACTAGCAGTAAATAGGTACCTGGGGGTTAGACAGCTGCTACGGGCTGCTTTCTGGTGGTGTATAACAAAAAGGAGGCGTGTTCGAGGACCGAGCCGGGGACGCTAAGCCCCGAAATCATCTGAAGATAACCTCAAGAGAAGATAGGACCTTAACAAACTCCAGGAGTGGTCAAACCAATGGCTGCTGGAATTCAATACTAACAAGTTTAAAGTAATGAGAATGGGAGAGAGAAGAAAGCATCTACACCATGATGAAAAGGCAGCTACAGGAATCACAGAGAAGAATCTGGGGGTAGATATAGTTCTGACACTCTCACCGGAGGCGCACATAAACAGAATATCATCGGCAGCGTTGCGACGCTGGCAAATATTAGAACATCCTTTAGAAACCTGAATCAAGACTCCTTCAAGGAGTCGGGCATGATATATCCCCGACCGTCCAATTGGTTGGGGAACCATTCCTTCTCCCCCCCGTCCCATCCCCAAATCCTTATCCTGATCCCTTCCCAGCGCTATATAGTCGTAATGGCTTGGCACTTTCCCCTTGATCATTCCAATTCCTTCAAGGCAATCTACACAACATTTGCTAGACCAATACTGAAATATGCATCACCGGCATGTAATCCGCACCTTGTGATGAATATAGAGACAAAATTGAGAAAGTACAAAGGTTTGCAACAAGATTGGTGCCAGAGCAGAGAGAGTTAAGCTACGAAGATAAGCTAATGGAACTAAATCTTACAACACCAGAGGATAGAAAAAAAGGAGGGGGATATGATCACAACATACTAGATACTGAGGGATATAGATAAGATGGATAAGGATAGCCTCTTCAGATTGAGAGGAAGCATGCCACGAGGACACAGGTGGAAGCTGGAAGCACAAATGAGCCGAGGAGATGTTAAAAAGTACTCATACCCCTGTACAGGTTGTTAACAAGTGGAATGCTCTAAAAGAGTAAGTTGTGGAAGCCACCTCCATCCACAACTTTAAAGCCCTATTCGACAAAGAATTTGAGTAAGAATAGTTAAACTGAAACTCAGTACGTATGAGTCTATTAGGCGGGGCATCAAGAGCTATATTCACCTCACTTCCCCGGTAGACAATGACAGGTAAGTACCACCACTACTACCACCACCACCATCCCC